TCATTCAGTTGTTGCCTAGACATCTGAAGCCTGGTGAACCTAAGTTATAAATGGATCACTTTAAAAGTGTTCTCAAACATCCGTTAAGGCAGTCTGATACGACATGAGTGGACAAATCGCCCTTGGATAGCAGTCTCAACCACAGTGGCTTGGTTCCCTACACAAAACGCCTGTCCAGAATCATCCTCACAGTACCAACAAACTAAACTTTGCTCAGGAGGAAGAATCGCTTGCACGATGAGTGAAGCTTTCGTCTGAAAGTTTATCATTCGAGGAACACGCGAGTAAAGCGCTATATCCTGTCTAAGTCCTAGCTATTCATACTGCTGATCAGCCATTCTTAGCCGAACGGCTTAGACTTTAACTGCCAGCCGAAAGGCCGCGAGTTCTAAAGTTCCTGCTGGTTATTTCCAATAAGGATAGCAGTTGTACAATGACTGTGAGCTTTTCAGTATGGATAAGCTTCCCTCATAAGAATAAACTTGTATTGAAGACGATTGATTTGCGCATGTAGAGAGCAATAGCTGCTGAGTCTGTCAGTCCTCTCAATTTTATTTTCACACACCTCTGAATTCTGTTATTCGTCAGTTTTAGCTTTGTCTATTTTTGGCTGTAGTACATAAGCTCAGCTGGTGTCTCTGTTCAGTGAAAGCTATCGCGACAGTCCACTTTTATCCCGAGAAGTCAGTCCATGGGGATCAGGTAGCACAAACTAGATGCGTATGTGGACTTTATTGCCTTGAATAACTCTGATGGTTCATTGCCAGATTGTGAGTCTGTAAACTCAGTCTTACTCAGTCTGTGTACTCAAGACTAGTTTACTGACCATACTGGCCATGCTGTCGGCAACTGGGAACGCTAACGGTTGCGACTCGTTCAGCTTTTGATTTGCGGGCATTACCGTGCTCACGCCCCGCTACGATGAACGGATTTGAAGCGCGAACTATTATAGAAAAATTACACGATAGGACCAAGTTGTTTTAGCCGTATGTGAATAAAAATCGAATAACATAACTCAAGGCCTTCAAATCTTTCGAGGAACACATCGAAAGATAACAATGCGATCATATAAAATCGCCACAACTGCATACTAGTGTTGATAGCAAGAGAATGGTTGGGGATTTCAAATGTTTTAAATTTAAGCCAGATCGAACGACCACATTCGAACGTCACCTTTACCATCTATACTACCAGCGTTTACTATCTTTTACTAATTCACCTTGGGTCCTTGCATAATTTCCATCAGGTATACACGGAAGGGTTGATATCGCTCCGCAAAACAAACGTAAATGAGAATCAGCTTCATGAATGGTCCATGTATTGACAAATGTTTGACGTCTTCAAGGTGCAAATTGCGTCAAATGCAGGGCCTCAGACAAGGCCTCAGAAACCAATGAAAATTAGCACACTCATAGATTGCTGAAAAAATGGTCATCCTACTTTGTTCACTAAAAATGCAATGAGGCGAAACACCACCAAATCACCTACGAGCAAACAAAAGATTCAAACGTGTTGTGCCTTGCTGACGGTGATGCAACTTCTATGTTGGTCCTTAACTCTTTGTTCCGTCCACTATCAGAAGGCATATCAGAAGATATCAGAAGGTATATCAGAAGCCCTTTATGGAGACAGATTATTACGGATATAATTAAAGGATTATCACAGGATGTTCCACAGAGTCAAGCTAGGATCGTCGTGATGGGGTGTGGGGCGTCTACCTATAGATGCTGGGTGC